TGCAAATCATAATCACTAGACACACAAAGTTCTTAATATCTAAGGACAGAGTCAACGAACTATTGAATATACGTGTGGATATAAGTGTACTTTTAGTGACTTAACACTTAAGTACTATGCTTAGGTATGTTATGGTATATTACTATTAGGTTTTGCCTTTTGAGGCCATGAATTAATGTACTTCTACAATCCTTAATATGTATCCAAAACATATAAGATAATCTTACATTTTCGTAATCCCATATTACATTTCTGAAGATAACTAGTCATTATCTAAAGTCTCTTGGTTCATAAAATATATAACAAATTACTTCCAAAGTATATGGAACCAACTTCAAAACTCTAAATTAATTAGTAGTTACTTGTATAGTACGCTACGCATAATTATGGTCTCAGGGGTGTGGCTCGGAAAGTGCCATACTAGGGATCAACTCACCCTAAATTTGGGAGAAAAAAATAAATTTATGTGTAAAAAGTTTTGTATTGCATGAAACTTTATCCCTCTCGTCAGGGGCGGATCTATTGCTAGGAGAATACCAATAAAGTTTCTAATTTCTAAAGCAAACAATTGTTAGAAAATAGCTTGCCCCCAATAAAAAGATTGAGTTGCCCTAGGGGTGGACTCGGACCGGGCCGGCCCGCTACTGTGCGGGCCCAGACTGGCCCGGTTTGGGCCAACCGGCCCGGTGGGATGGCGGTTCGGGATCAGGCCCTTCAAAAGGTGAACCGGCCCGGCCGGCCCGGGCCCGGGCCGGGCCAATTTTTTTTTTTTGATTTTTTTTTAAGTTTTTGGGTTGGGTTGGGTATTTTGGGCCATTTGAGGTGGTTAGGGTTGGTTTGGGGGTGAGGGGGAGGGTTGGGGGTTAACTAGGAAAAGCCAAAAAAAAAAAAAAAAAAATAGAACCGAGGCCCGGCCCGGCCCGGACCTGGGGGTTACCCGGGCCGGTTCCGGGCCTTCCCTTCTTGAACCGAGGCCCGTCCGGGCCAAGACCCGAACCGGAACCGTCCATGCCTAAGTTGCCCCCAATAATTTTCTTGACATCCTAAAAGGCTAAAAGAGTTAAACTTATGCGGCTCTAAATGTATGTGTTGATTGTGTTCGTTTACGATTGAACTGGTAATCGTAAGTTAAATGTATTCATTATTAAATGTTTTTTTTTCTTTTTGGTTGGATAATCAATAAAGTAAAAAAATTAATACATATAAATAATGATATAAAAAGTAAATTGGATACCGTAACTATAGAGGTTACCAAATCTAGTCATGTAAAATATTACTAGTATTTCACAACTTTGATATCTTTATTTACATATGGCCAATTATTCAATGATGATGGCGTAAAAACTAACACAAATTGTATAAAATTGCTATTCAAATCATAGTTTTATTGAATTGATTTTCACTGGTCTATTTTATTTAGAGTTTAGAATGTCAAATTTCATTAATTAAATTCTAATTGTCTACTTATTTTATTCGATCATATTTACTATAAGGGAAATAGGAGTAAATGGGGTTTGAAATTCCAAAAAAGGACTACTATGTTTTTCTTCGGGAAATAGAAGTTTTTACTGCCATGTATGAAAAATACTGCCATAATTGAAAAATACCGCCATTAATTATAATAAATACTGTCATGTTAAATGCACTCTACTACAACTATTTGACAGTCACGCCTACAAGATGATAGTAAATACTATCATGTTAGTCTTATTTCGTGAATAAAAACACAGTAGTCGTGTTTTGGAATTTCAAACTTCGTTTACTCCTATTTTGGAAAATCTCCCTTATTACAAAAACTACTTTTAAATTTAATTATTAAATTTCATCTCAATTAATATTTTAAAATAGGGGGGCATGCATGCATCTCTCACCGGAATAATATAAAAAATACTACATACATAATATATTTGTTGGCAAATTGATGATTTGGAATATTGTTGTGCTTGAAATTAATTATAAGTTTGAGTTCTAAAAGATTACACAGCTCAAGCCATAGAGGGACCGGGTTAGGCGGGCCGGCCTCTTCTTCTTACCTGTTCATTTTTGGCAAGCGTAAATACAAAAATATTTGTTATGTATAACCATTAATCGTTGTGTTCGAATATAAACATTCGACTCTTTAGTATTATTATACTATGTAGGGCTGAGTCCAAAAAACCAAAAACTGAAAACCGAATCAAATTAAATCGAATCGCGACAAAATAAAACTGAACCGCTAAAAACCGAAACCGAATGTAAAAAACTGAACCGAACTGTAGTAGTTTGGTTCGGTGTTGGTTTTTACCCTTCAAAACCGAACCGAACCGAACAAACCGAATATAAATAAAATATGAAATTTTATTTGTTAAATGTAAGCATTAATCTTAATATCATCAATAATCTTTGAATTTCTTGTGCTATAGAAATAATGTTTATGTTATGTTTAGTTTAGTTTATAAATGCAATTACACATTCATTGCACATAATAATGTAGCTATATTGATCTATTATGTCTTTTATGTATGTATGTTACAATTTGTTGCATGATTATATATTTTTACTAGTTATTAGTAGTAATTAACTTTTATTTTTATGTAACTTAGTTCTTTTTTGTAACTTAACTTTTTTATATTGATAAAACAAATAAATATTCATCTCGGCTAAATCACACATGACATATGTATTCATAAACATTTTTCAAACTAGTCACAAACATTGTAAATTAAGAACAGATACACACTTTTATCTCTCTCGCATACTCATATAATTCAAGACATATTTGTTTATTATTATTTTCTTCATTTGTTCAAGTATGCTTGCATTTTTATGTAATATGTTTGATCCCTCCAACTTTTATATCAATTTTAAATTAAATGACAAATATTTAGTAAAAAACCGAAAAAATCGAAACCGAACCGAAACAAACCGAACCAATCAAACCGTGGTTTGAAGTTTTGGAGTGTAAAACCGAACCGAAACCGAATCGAACTTTTACTTTGGTTCCGTATTTGGTTTTAGGTCAAAACCGAACCGAAAGAACTGAACCCACACCTAATACTATGTATATGCGTAGTGTATTCTAACGTCTAAAAAAAGTGCATTCTAACGTCTAAAATTTGGTGCCCTTAATAAAAATCTATTCTCTACTACTCTACTTATGCCCCCAATAAGTAAATTTTCTAGATCCGCCAGTGCCTCTGATTATATCATTGTGTTTATATATGTAGAGTAGCTATGTACCTATGTTTATGATCTATTGAAAATGTACATACAACTTGACGATAATGATACCAATACAAAAAATAAGTATATCTATTGAATATATTAATTTTATTTGGATTTGATACATCATTGAGTTTTATTTTTTATTGATTTTTAATCCATCAAATAGCAAAATCGTGGGTAGCAAACTATATTAGTGACCTATCCCTTTTTATTGTATCAATTTTGCAATCAACAATATTTACATTTTATCCAAAAAAAAAAAAATTTTGCAATCAACAATCTGACCATGCAAACTTGAAATAATTTTCTTTTGATATATATCATAATTTTTATCTAAATTCTCTCTTGTTATTTTGAAAGTGTGCTTTGGCAGCAATAATTTGACCTATTGGGTTGGTGAAATATAGCCGCACGACTCGCCACTGAAAAACCATCAAATTCATGAGATTATAAATACAATTCAACTAACTCGGAGTTGGTGGCACCACTCTTAAAACCTTAATTAATGACTTAATACATGTTTGTTAATTTGAAAAGTCAATATTTATCTAAATAGGAGTAAATAAAAGGATAATTGCAATATTAGGAGTTCAAAGTTTAAGGATGTTTTTACTTGGACTGTAATTTGCTGGTCTGGTCTGCTCTGGTCTGTACTGGTCTGGTACTCTGGTCTGGTCTGGTTTCTTTGTATTTTTATAACTATCTCAGTTTGGTCTGGTCTGGTCTGAACTGGTCTGGTCTGAACTGGTCTGGTCTGATCTGGACTGATCTGGGACGAATTACAATCCAAGTAAAAACATCCTAAATTCCCAAAATAGGACTAACTCTTCCCATTCTACCATTTCCTTTGTCCTTGATAATAGGATTTTTAAACAATCATTATAAAATATAAAAAAAATCAAAATTAAAAAAATAAAAATCGTAAAAAATAATTAAAAAATATACAGACCCCAACCACCACCTCAAACACCTTCCAGCACTGTCACCTCCGATCGCTGGAAAAGATTGCCAAGTTGGGGAAAAAATGTCATCATAATGGCAATTTTGAAGAGAAAGCAAGAGAAAGCTGGATATTTTCAAAAAGTAAAAATGCCATCTTTATGCCATTTTCAGAGAAATGTGACATTTTTTACACAAGATGGCATTTTTTTCCGGCGACCGGAGTCGGTAGAGGACGCGTTGGCAGTGACCTACATATTTTTTTAAATATTTTTTAGGTATTTTATTTTATTTTTTGGACTTTTTTAAAATTCTTTAAATAATTTTTTTTTAATTTTTTACTACGTATTTTTATTTTATTTTTTCACGTTTTCATTACTCCCTCCGTCCGAAAAACAACTTCACACTTCGTTTTCCACACATATTAAGAAAATAAATTTACTGGGGGTAAATTTTACTGTTTGGACACTGTTTGGACACGGTTTAGCACTATTTGGCACTGTTGGGCACTGTTTGGCACTGTTTAGATGTAGATAATTTGCCAAATAAGGAAGTGGGAAGAAGTGTGAAGTTAATTTTGGGACATCCATTTAAGGAAAGTGGGAAGTTGTTTTTGGGACGGAGGGAGTATTATTTTATAAATATTTTATTATTTTTTTATTTTTATTATAAATAAAACTATGATTTTCTTATTAATAAAATAAATCTATTGAAAATGATAGGAGGAGATAGAATGAGAAGAAGAGAAATATATCAGTTATATTTTGGGAATAAAAGGATCATTCTTCTATTGAATTTTGGGCTAATTTTACTATGGCTAATACCTGAAAAGTCAAATACGAAGTATATTTTTTTAAGCAAAATGAATTGTGTTCCCTTTGGTTTTTATAAATATACTACGGACTTACCCGCAAACCTTTCTTACTCGTATATACACCCGCGCGCACAGACATTCTGTAAGGTCCTCTCCACCAAACCTTCCTAATCCATGTCTGAGGAGAAGAGATGGGTGTTGACGGTGACAGCGCAGACGCCGACGAACATAGCCGTCATAAAGTACTGGGGGAAGAGGGATGAGAACCTCATCCTCCCCATCAACGATAGCATCAGCGTCACCCTCGACCCCGCCCACCTCTGCACCACCACCACCGTCGCCGTCAGCCCTTCCTTCCACCAAGATCGCATGTGGCTTAATGGGAAGGTACATGCATCTCATTCTCATACTTCGATTTCTGATCTATTAATAATAGAGAGGTAAAACAGGAAGCTGGTGAAGCTGGAAAAATTAACTCAAATTTGCAGTCATTTACGCACCTTAATCCGGAATCTCATAGTGTCCATTAATTTAATTGAATAAATATTCAAAATCGACTTTTCTGTTTGCATAAAAGTGCTACAATGAGCTAAGATAGTCGCTGTTTGCGTGTCATTTCCGATACACATTCTGAGTGAGGGTGATATGCTCAAATTGGGGACTTGGTGTGGTTGGATTACTTGGATGAGTATGTGAGAATTATCACTCCGATTTCGCTGTTTCCTCCTGATCACAACCGTCTCTTCTCTACCAAGCCGCGACGCCATGGCACTTCCAAATCAGCAGACAGTTGATTACCCGAGCTTTAAGCTTGTAATTGTTGGATGGTGGTACCGGAAAAACAACTTTTGTCAAGAGGCACCTTACTGGTGAATTTGAGAAGTATGAACCCACACGATTGGCGTGGAGGTTCATCCGTTGGACTTCTCCACAAACCTTGGGAAAATTCGGTTTTACTGCTGGGATACTGCAGGTCAGGAAAAGTTTGGAGGCCTCAGGGATGGTTATTACATCCATGGACAATGTGCTATTATAATGTTTGATGTTACTGCCAGATTAACATACAAGAATTTGCCTACGTGGCACCGTGATCTATGCCGGGTGTGTGAGAATATTCCAATTGTCCTCTGTGGTAACAAGGTTGATGTCAAGAACAGGCAAGTGAAGGCAAAGCAGGTTACATTCCACAGGTGGAAGAATTTGCAGTACTATGAAATCTCTGCAAAGAGTAATTATAACTTTGAGAAGCCTTTCCACTACCTTGCTAGGAAACTTGCTGGGGAACCAAACCTGCAATTTGTTGAAGCTGTTGCCCTTGCTCCTCCAGAAGTCCAGATTGATATGGAGTCTCAAAAAAGGCGAGAGGAAGAACTTAACGCTGCTGCGGCACTGCCACTCCCTGATGATGATGATGGTGCCTTCATCCAATGAGTCTTTTCTGTGGGTTTGGTGTAGCAAGCTCCGGCAGAAGTACTTTTGTTGAGGAATACGGATAATGTGTGTGATGAGGTTTCAAACTGGTTTGGGCTCATTTAATATTATTATGTGGAAAGGAAGTACATGAAACTTATACTCATGTTCTTCATAATTAGTGTGCATCTGTGTATGATTTTGGATATATTCTGAAATATCTTGCAAGGTTTTATGTTGAGCTAAAAAAACTTGGATGATTATGTCTGTTACACTAGTCAAGAAATGGGACTTGATCATTTGATATTTTGAGTCCCGTTTGGATTAGAAAAAGTATGGTGGGAAAACAAACATATAAAATGAACTTATGATTTTCTTGTAATGTTAAGGAAATACCACTTTCCGGAGGAAGATACCAAAATTGTCTGAGGGAAATTAGATCCCGAGCTTGTGATTTTGAGGATGAGGAGAAGGGTATTAAGATTTCAAAAAAGGATTGGGAGAAGTTGCATCTGCATATAGCTTCTTATAATAACTTTCCTACTGCTGCGGGCTTGGCTTCTTCCGCTGCTGGCTTTGCCTGTCTTGGTATTTTCTGCTTTCTTTCTTCATGCGAGACTGGTTCTCCTTATTTTAGTGTGGAGTTATATTTGATATGGTAAAGTGGTAAACACAAGAATCACAAACGGAACTTGTAAAAGAATCATCATTTTCTTAAAGGAATTAACAATTTAGGTTTTTATTTATCATGTTTTTTTAAATGAAGACATGAAATGCTAGCATTAACTTTTGTTAGCATCCTGTACGTGAAGCATTTATGCATAGTGTGTTTTTGAGAATTTATGGATCTGTTTGAACATACTAAGTAACTAAGTTGGAACAGGACTGCTTCTTAATAGATAGTTCTAAAAGCTGCTTCTTTGTGCATTATTTCCTCATACATCCATGCCAACCATGATGGATTTTTCTTGATATCAATATTGGAATGGCTGATTCCCCTTAAACTTGCTTAAAAATGTCTAAAGGGACCCCCAACCCACACATTCACACTCACACATGGTGTGCATAGGTGCAGAGGAGTTGATTATCTTAACATTTTTCTTTGACAATGGACATTGTGTGGTTTCACCACGATCATACTTTACTGCTTATGTAACTGCTTATTATTCTGGTATGTTTGTTGTATGATTTGTAGTTAACTAAATCTATTTGTCATTGTTTTGTCTCATAATGCAGTTTTTTCCCTTGGAAAGCTAATGAATGTGAAAGAAAATAATAGTCAACTTTCTGCTATAGCAAGGTAATTCTTCTTCTTGATGCATATGTCTGCGTGTGTGTCTGCTATTTTTTCAATGAGATCAGATATGTAACTATGCAAGCAGATAAACAACCTGATAATTTCATACAGGCAAGGTTCAGGAAGTGCTTGCCGCAGTCTATTTGGTGGATTTGTAAAATGGGTCATGGGAAAAGTAAGTTCGGTCGTTTTTATATCTTCTTTTTTCGTTCATTGACCTATTCATTTCTCACAATACTTCACTATGAATGCATTGAAGGATGAAAGTGGAAGCGATAGTCTTGCTGTTCAACTTGTAGATGAGAAGCATTGGGACGAACTGGTTATCATAATTGCAGTGGTATGTAACTATTTTCTCAGATTCATATTGTTTGAACTATTTTACCATACTATAAAACCTGAGAAGATAAGAAGGGCCAATGATGTTGAATTCATGGTGTCTCGTTTTTAATAATGAAAACTCCTTATAATCTATACAAGAACAACATCCAAGCCTTAGTCCCAAAAGAATTTGGGACCGCTAACATGGTTTGACATGTGAAATTGGAGCTTCACATGTATATTCTCCCTCCACTTCACTCTCTCCAAAGCTACAGTCTCATCTAACCAAAGAAGTACCATATCATTACTGACCTGTTACAATCTATAAAAGAACAATTTTACCTCTAGTCCCCAAAAGCATCAAATGTAAGCTTTTAGGAATAGAGATAACAGTGCTTCCCCTTATTTATTAGTACTTTTTAAACGTTTCTAACAGTCATTTTGTCAAGGTTATATTCTTTTTGAGTAAAAAATAGCAGTCTTACTTATATTAAATGTTATACCAAGCACACTATTAAATTCTTCCCAATGACTACTTACGGTTTAGGTAAGTTCAAGGCAGAAGGAAACAAGTAGCACCAGCGGAATGCGTGACACGGTTGAAACCAGTCCACTTATACATCACAGGGCGAAGGTATTCAATTGTTCTCTTAATTGTTCCCAATTCAATTTCGAACTTAAGTCAATTTCAAGTTGTTGAAACTGTTCCCACATTTTGTCTAGGTCCTCAAGTGCTTGCCTCACTTTGCTTTGAGGAAGGGTTAAAGTGCTTGTTTAGTGGGGTTAAGCTTGCAACCCTTTTACATGTGAAAAGGAATGTTCTTGTGGCAATTTTAAAACTGTTTCTAAAAAGTTAAAAACACCAAGTGCTTTTGAAAGAAGCACTTGATTGCCGCTTCTTTCACAAATACGCTTTTGAAAGAATAATTTGTTTTTGAGGATTCCAATCAAAAGCAAAATACTGCATCCAGTAAAACTATTACTAGCAAAGCTTTTCCTGCAATCAATGAATATAAAAACACATATAAATGAGCTCTATGTTTGAACAGTTTGGTTATTAGTATTGAATATAATTAGATCCCACTTTTCTTTGATTATTTTACAGGAGGTAGTTCCAAAAAGAGTACTTCAAATGGAGGAAGCAATTAAAAATCGCGATTTTGCAATGTTTGCGCACCTAACATGCACAGACAGCAACCAGTTTCATGCAGTTTGCCTGGACACTTCTCCTCCTATATTCTACATGAATGATACATCTCATAGGTAAGTTTTTAGGGAAAACTATCAAATAAGCCCTCTTACTATATACAAAATCTCAATTTCTCATACTTAAATATCACCCAATTAGACCCTTGAACTAATTAAAATAAAACAAATTGTCATTTTAGCCGGTAACTAACCGGTATCCCAGTTATCTTGCTCACATGGCCTTTATGTCATCATTTTAAACCTTTTCCTTTTTTTTTTAATTTTACCCCTCTTTACTATCTCCACCTTCCTCACAATCCTTTGTACCTTGCCCCCCCGTAATGTCCTCCATCTGTAAATCATAACTTTCTTCTTTATCTACGGACTACAGAGTAATATTTATCCTCGATGGTCGTTGTTTTCATGTAAAAGAAAATTCCAGAGTTTTTCATTGTAAATTCATATGAAGCACCCAGCTAATTCCGGTAAAACAAAAATCTACATATTAAATTCTTTTGTTATAAAGATCTTTCTTTCTTACTATTTTATATCCCACTTACCGATTTCCCTCTATTTCTTTGTCCCTGATTTTCAATTTTTCTTTTCTTTTCTTTTAAATATTCCTGTTTACTTCCGATAATAATGAAGATCATTAAATATAGACTTGATCTGAAAATTGAGATTGTTAATGGGACCCAATAATTTTTTTTCAAAACATGAAGTGCAAGTTTAATTTGGAGCTAATTTCTGTTAGATCTAAAAAATCTGGTATATTAATTTTTGTATAGAAGAAAAATTTCAAGAAGATGATGAGAAGAAGAAATAAAAGGGAGAAAAATTAAAGGGAGAAAAATACTTTGAGTGGAAGAGATAAGATATGGGAAGAAATTGGAGAAGAAGAAAGACAAAATTCGACAATGAAACGAGAAGAGAGAAAATTTACTTCGTATGAAATAGGGATGGTAGGTACAAAATTTATTAAAAGCATAATACAGAGTACAAATATTACGAAGTACTATGTATTAAATAGTCTCACGTGGCAGCCACGTAAGTGGACAACCAGAAAACTGGTGATCAACCGGCTATATAGCTGATTTGAGTTTTTTTACAACTTTGGGGATTTAATTGGGTGTTTTTTTAGTAGTTTTAGGTAACAGCTTTACATTCATTTTTGAAGAAGAGAATTACAATTAAAACGATTAGATATCTTATGATTTCAGGATAATCAGCTGTGTAGAAAAATGGAATCGTTCAGAAGCAACTCCACAGGTTTGATCCTTGTGTAATGTGCATCTCAAATATCACTGAGAGTATTAGATAAGGATTTCTTGTAATGTTTGGTGTTAGTCATAGGCAGGAATGCAGGATACAGAAAACAGTCACATATATGAATACGTTGCTAATTAAAAGGGAATAGCTATTCAATGGTTACCATCTTATTCATTTTTTGTGTGTGTGTGTGTTGACCTAGTATGCGTGTTTTTTAATGCCAAAGAGCATCTCAGAGTTGGACAAATATGTCCTTGGCATTCTTCCACTCACAGAAAGAGTGTAAACGATTGGTTCTAGAAAGGACTGCTTCTATGTAGGGTTGTAAACAAATCGAATAATTTTGATTCGATTCGTGATTCAAATTCGAAAACGTCTATTCGCATTCGATTAAGTAGAATACAAATGCGAATACAAATCTATTTTTTTATTCGAATACTTTTCGATTCAAACAATATTCAAATATATTTGAATTATATTGGTATATATATATTCACACAATATATACTATTCATTATAAATAAATATAATTCGATGTAAAAATATTAATAACATATTATTTATGTACAAAAACTAGTAGGTATTTTTCATATTTTAATTTAAATGTTCTTACTTTATCAAGTCAAAATAGCTTATATTAAAGTTATAATTCTCTGTTGATTTATTTATATTGATGTTAAATTTGAAGAAGTGACTTGTAGATATATTTTGTTTGGTATGAAATATGTACAATGAAAATGAGTTAAACCCGGCAAACTATACATTATAAATTTAATTATTTTCATAATTTAACTTCAATGTTTTTCGAATTCGAATATTGGAATAAGATTAGAAAAAGATTCGAATATATTTGAATATACTAAACAAATCGAATACGAAAACAAAATAAGATTCGAATATTAAACGAATACGAATATTCGATAGTGATACGAATACGAATAATATTGTCAAGTATCCGGTTCGATTTGATTTGTTTACAACGCTACTTCTATGCTTGGCCAATCCTGAATGATTGCATGAACTTTGATTCCTCTAGCACAAGCAAAGATATTAGGAGCCATCAGAGCACAATTATACCCTTTGTTAAGCTTGGTTGATGGTTTAGTGTGTTAACTTCAATCCTCTGCAATTAGCTTTCAATATTATGTGTTAACTATTAATGCACCTTAAGAGCTCTAATTATGAGCCCGAATGATTTCAATGTCAAGAAGGCAGGCTGGTAACACTATGAATATTGCAGGTTGCTTACACTTTTGATGCTGGGCCAAATGCTGTCATGATTGCTCGCAATAGAAAGGCCGCTACCCTTCTTCTTCAGAAGCTCCTCTTCTACTTTCCTCCACAGTCTGATACTGATCTAACCAGGTATGCTTTAAATTCCAACATCTCCACGCATCTTTTAATGGTTCATTATGGAATCAGAAAAAATGACGGGGAAAGAAAATAAGATAGGATAGTATAGGGGAAATTTGGAAGGGAAAAAAATATGTGGGGGGAGGCAAAACATTGGTTCAAACTCAACAAAACTATTTTTATATTTGCTCAGTGGCAATTTTTTTGTTTCTATTATAGAAAGACCATTAATGCTTAACATATGTAGAAAACTTAAAACCATTAATATTTCATTTTCCTTTGCATTCCCCAAGATAAAACGGACACTAAAAAATTTCCTTGCCATTTTCTCTCCTACCCCTAGCAGTTTCTAGAATCCAAACATACCTTAATTTGGTGCGTGTTACGCGTGGGAATTGGGTATATTTGATGAATAGGGAGCTTATAGCTTTACGTACACTACATAATCATTCATACACACACGCTCTCACTGTCTGTTTTCTTTATCCAGCTATGTCATAGGAGATAATTCAATACTGGAGGATGCCGGAATCAAGGATTTGAAGGACATAGAAGCTCTACCCGCACCTCCAGAAATTAAGGATAGTGTTGTTCCAGCTAAGAACAAGGGCGATGTTAGTTACTTCATCTGCACAAGACCGGGAAGAGGTCCAGTTGTGATTACTGATGAGAGTCGTGCTCTCCTCAACCCAGAAACAGGGTTGCCCAAGCAATGATGAACCCGTCTTATCCAAAGTATTGAAACTTGTCCCCCCTGTTTTGTTTACATTTCCTTTTACTGAGTAGATAGCTGTGTACTCGAATCACATCCCAGAGAAAATCATTCTCTTTTTCATCACTACGAGTTTCTGATTGGTTTAAATTACAAGTTTTGTTTTTGTTCTGGAAATAAGACTCAACCACTTCTAAAATATAAGTCTTAATCAAGTAACTCCTTGTATTAGGACTTGATTCTTTTCACTGTTTCCGCACATTACTAGTGTTTAACTATTTTTTTCTGATGTTGAAAAAGAGTACATTTGAAAATATGGCAAGTGTTAATAGCCAATTTTAATTACAACACAGGGTAGGGTTGCACCGGTCTGAGACAGGATTGGAGGGGACCCGGTCCGGGCCCCGGGATGGGATTGGGCGGGGTTTTGGGTTGCAGGCCCGGTACGGCCCCAGGCCGGGTCAGTCAATTTTGTTTTTTTAAATTGCTTTTTCTGAATTTATTCCTACCCCCACGGCCCACCCCCAAACCCAAATCCCCAAACCACCCAACACCACCCACCTAGTAGCCAATGAATGGGAAAAACAATAAAAAAGGGCCCGGACTGGTCCCGGACCGGCTGGGCCAGTCACCCTTTTTCAAGTCCCGTAGCCTGCCCCCCTTTACCCGGTTTGGGCCCCTAGTACCGGTCCTGGTATCGCCCGGGCGGGCTGGGTCGGCCCTACACAGTGGTGGGCCAGGCTGGGTCCTGGGCCTGGCTGACCTGTCTCGGTCCATCCGTAACACAAGGTGCTAAATTACTTAAAAAAAATCGATACAAGCAAAGAGTTGGTACCCGATTTTGTCCATTGGCTATACAGTTGCTTAGTTTGATGTGGGATCTAATTCTGGACATCTTTGATTATGTAATTTAAACTAAACGAAGTCCTATCTCTAAGTACGGTATTTCAATATTATTATCTCTAAACTAGATCCAAATTGCATAATTGGTGGCTAATTACCTAATTTCAGCAACACAAAATTGGGCATAAATAGTGAGCAAAATAGACAAAAATACATTTCTTATCTAGCTACTACTACGTAGTATTTATTAGTATTTTTTCCGAACGAACCGGCGGTTTAAGCTTAATTCTGAGATTTAAGTCCCCGATGTTGTTAGGAATAAAGCTTGTCAACCACTTCTTCTTGAAACTCCTTGAACTTCGCTAGTGTGTATATTCCTTGCATTTGTTTCTCCATTGCAAAAGAAGTCACACATGGTATCAATTTTGTAAATTCCACTAGCTGTAAGACAGAAAGTAATACATACCCCCGGACTACAAAATGTCTGGGCCAAACAAATTTTGTCTTGGCTAAACTCTAGAAAGTAGTTACTTGGCCCAGACTACTAATGTCTGGCCCAGACAACTTTTGTCTGGCTGTAAGACGGAAAGTAATACATACACTCAGACTACAAATGTTTGGGACAGACAAATTTTGTCTGGTTGTACTCTGCAAAGTAGTCACTTGGCCCGGACTACTAATGTCTTGCCCAGACAACTTTTGTCTGGTTGTAAGATACAAAAGTAATACATACCCAGACATTATTTTTACGCAGAGAAACAATAACTTTACACAAACAGATAATACGGCGGATACCCAGACAGACAAAAGATCAACATACATAAGTGGATAATTGTACATGTAATGTTTGCAAAAGCTTACACATGTTCAAAAAAACCAATCCAATTGTTCAACATTGTACAATATTCGACACATTTCCCCACAACAGTATCACATTTCCCCAACTGTAATATGTAATGTTTGTAAAAAAAATACATATTCCAAACAAATCACAAGTTCAAAATTGACACATTTCCCCCAACACTCTATGGTTCAGCCTTCTTCAAGCGCAATGCTGTCATAGTCATAGTGAGGAATCAATAACTTCCTCAGTAACAGCTGCTCTGCAAATGATATGACCATGACGCCACATTCTTCGGATCTGTAGACAGACAAATGAAGCACATACAGACATTTAGAACACTTAACACATACAATACATGTAATGCAAAAAAATATTGAGTTTAATACCATGCTTGCTATTGAGGCACACATAGAGTCATAAACTTTAACCAATCTACTTCCAGAGACAACTTTGAAGACAACTAATTACATCTCAAAAAATACACACCACAACTTACATACAACTCACAATCAAACGATAGACAACTAAATATGAGTTACAGACATCTATTTTTAAAATGACAGACAATTTCACAACTCTTACAGATTCCTCACAACAACATGATAGGCAAGTCATTACAGGCAACTTAAAACAAATACAGACAACTAACAAGCAAATGACAGACAATTAAAAAATATTAAATTGGAAAAAATAACTATATCATATTAAATTGGAAATCCATAAAAATACTCATTAAACATTGAGGTACAAAAAATGGAAAAAAAGTCTTGAATTTCAAAAAAAAACTTCATTGAGTAATTTCTACAAACATGTTATGGGCATAAAATGAACTAGATAAATTACACTAAAATTTTAATTAATTAACACCTCAAAATCATTACAATGAAACAAACTAATCAATTATTTGCTTTTATATCATACATTATATACATAAAATCAAAAAAAGGAAAAAAAAATAAAACGCACATGATGAAAAATCGGAAATGGAGTACGTACCTCATGATTTGAGAAGAGATGATTACCTTAGACACAACTAAATGAGGAGGTGTACCTTCAAAAATGGAGATAAGAACTCTTCAAATGAAAAGAGAAGAAAATAATGGGGAACAAAGAAGAAGAAGGAACGAAGCAAGATGAGATTTATTCTTTGTGCACCGTAGCACCTGCGAATGGGTGCTGCAGATTTTGGGGGAAAAAGAATAGTATGGGGTAGAGGAGAGAAGTGAGAGTGATATTTTTGGAAAGAGGTAAAAAAAGATGGTAAAAAGGGAGATATTTACATGGGATCTTTGTTAGTTAATACGCGTATAATACGCTAGAATGTATAATACACGTATAAAACATCCGATTACATATTTTGTCCAAAAATTCGTTAAAATACGCGTATTTTGAAGGTAAAACGTATAATTCTCGTATCAATCCGTATTTATACGTATTTAAATTAAAAAAGCCCAACTAAAAAGTAGACTAAAGCGTAAAGCGTACATACCGTTGCCACAAAGCCTGAGGCCCCAAAAATACTTCGTATTAATAATGTGGGCTAGTATAGTATAGCTGTCCAATCAACTAATAAACTGCCTAAGGTATACGGAACCAAAGCACAGACCTAGCACAGTAGCAGCCTAGCACGCGGCGGCAAGCTCTGGCCTCCAAGGTTAGTCTCTTATCAAGCTACAGTGTATTCTTTAATACGAGTATGTCCATTGAATCTATTCCATATGTTCGAGTATGTATTTAAAGCTACAGTGTATGTCATATCAAGCTACAATGTATTCCACTTGTTATTTACTCCATATGAAGTTTTAAACTTTCATTGTTTTATTAATGTTGTTTTTAAAAATCTTACGTATAATTCTTCTCTCCCATACGTCTCATGATTTTATGCAGTTAGGTTTTATCATTTTTTGGGGGAAGTAGGTTTTATCATTGAAAATCCTCTTTCATTTTTTATGTTCGATGCCAATAATATTTCTTATTACGGAGTAAATTAAACTTGATTTATGTGATTCAATAGAACATTTATTAAAGTTTTGAAATACCTAATTTGAAATACTGATAATAATTTAAATATTGTGAGCATTGTTCTAAAAATCGACCTAATCAGTTTAATTAATTAGCACTAATTATGAAGGACTAACCGACCTAATCAGCCAAAAAATTGACCGAATCAGTTTGATTAATTAGCACTAATTGTGGAGGACTAACCGACATAATCGGCCAAAAAATCAATCTAGGATGTTTAACTTTTAGGAGTATTATTTTAGTATTTGAAAATTTAAACTTTTCCATCATACATTTACCACTTATGGCCGTCAATAATAAATTTATATTGTCTTATGTTCTTTTTTTATAGAACCATGGTTAGAAAGAGGGACCCGCTCTGGACCCATGCTGTGGATATGAATGGAAAATTTGAATGCAAGCATTGCCAACACATTTTTTCTGGTGGTCTAACTAGACTCAAGTTTCATTTGTCTGGATTAAAAGACAACGACATTGAGATTTGCACACAAGTTTCTTCAGAGATACAATCTCAAGTGTGTCAAACCATTAGCCAAAATCTTTCCAAGAGGATGAGAGTGGATTCAAGTGATAAACACATAAGAAGTGATGGTACTTTTGGGGTTTCTTCTCCCTCCTTAAATACTAGGGGAGGTATGTCTTCTCAGCCCTCGTTGTATCAAAGTACTATGCCTGAAATGGTAAAGAAACTCGACAAGACTGAGTTACATGACTTGCTTGCTACATTTTTCATTCAAAATAATATTTATTTCAATGTTGTGCAACAAAAGTCATTCATCAATCTTGTAAAAGCCATTGGTGAGTATGGTCCTGCATATAAATTGCCCAGCTGCTCAACTTTAAGGACTAGACTTATCCCAAGAGCAAAAAAACGTGCTGATGAATATGTAGAAATTGTTAAGAAGACTTGGGAAGACACTGGCTGTTCCATCATTTCTGATACTTGGAGTGATATGAAAGGACGATGTTTCATTAACTTTATTGCATATTGTCCTAGAGGTTCCGTGTTCTTACAATATGTTGAAATTTCAGAAGATAAGAAGTCAGGTCTTTTTCTGAGTCACTTAACCTCTAAGGTTATTGATATGGTTGGGCCTCAATATGTAGTTCAGTTCATCAGTGATAATGGTTCAAATTTTGTATCTGCTGGAAACATGCTTGTACAAAAGTACACCACCATGTATAACACGAGGTGTGCTGCACGTGGTATTCAATTGCTTTTGAAAGACTTCTATGAACAAATCCCTTGGATGAAAAGTGTTGTTGATGATGCAAAATCCATTCAAGCATACATGTATCGACACACTATTGTCACTGCTTTGATGAGAAAAGCTACAAAAGGAAGGGAACTGAAAAAGCCTTGTACTACTAGGTTTGTTTCCAATTTTCTTGTTGTGCAATCTGTAGTCACACTTGAGAATGAATTGAGATTTCTTGTGGCTTCTTCTGAATGGAGAGATTTGTCATATAGCAAGTCACGAGAAGCTATAGTTGTGACAGGATTAATTCAAAACAATGTCTTTTGGTCTCAAGCGAGAGAGTGTTTGCAAGCCTTGGAACCTCTGGTCAGAGCTCTCCGCTTAGTTGATGGTGATGGATCTGCGGCTGGATATTTGTACCAAGCAATGGAACTGGCTAAGGTTGGGCTCCAGAAAAGGTCTGAAAAAGATAGAGATAAATATGGGTATATGTTGACTTTATTTGAGGTGAGGAGAAAAGATAATATCACTCATCCCATTCATGCATTTGCCGCATCTCTCGATCCATTGTACATGACTAGTCCCGACTTTAAGCAAACAATGGAGATGAAAGAAGGTATGTTTTTCTTATTTGAGAAAGTTCTCAAACCGGATGAGAATGATTTATTCACAAAGCAATATCGTGACTATATTTTGAAGCCTTCCTCATTATTCAACGCAACAACATATAGCTTGATGAAGACATGTCATCCTCGTAAGTTGTTTTTATTTTGTAAATTGGGCGCTTCTTTAAAAATGGTCTTTAGTTTATTTTTATTTGATATTATTTTGTTAATTAATTTTTATATTTTAAGGAATATGGTGGGAGTTCTGTGGTGATTCTGTGCCAACATTAAAGAAATATGCCATTCGCATACCGAGTCAACCATGCAGCTCATCATCATGTGAGCGTAATTGGAGTGCATTTGAAGCTGCCCAGATAAAGAAACGTAATCGGCTCAGTCCAGATATGCTAGGCATGCTTGTATATTGTAGGATGAACATAATGATGATGCAAAAAACAGATGAAAAAATGTTTAGAGACGCTGATCCGGTTGATTTAAGCAAGCTCGCAGAGTGGCCTGATTATGAGTAGAAGTTGAAACATGCTCCCAATTTGTGGATGAGAATGGATCGGTTGGGACTTCAGGCAGTTCATTTGATGATACTAGTGCTGACAATGCTAGTCTCATTCATCCCGCCTCATCCCCTTTCAGAAGTCTGTGTGACTTATGTTGATGATGCAGATGGGTTTGAAGATTTTACTTTTGATTTTTGAGACTTTATTAGAGACTTTAGTGTTGATTTACTTTAGATTTTAGACTTTGGTGTTTTATGTTTTTCTTTCATGATTACTGCATTTATTGTCATGAAAACTTGTTACTATCCTTCTTTATTTTGAATTTAGTTTTCTTGATGTGATTTCCATAGAAAATTTAAAGTTAGAATCATTTTATTTAAAATTGACTTTTTTATTGTAGTTGTTACATCATATATCTAAGAATATACTATCCTCCGTATCACATTAATTGCAACATTGAAATATATACACTATTCATGTACTTTACTTTGACTACATTTTATTTATTAATGTATGTGAATTATTTTTTTTTGAAAATTTTTGTTAAATTCGTCTCATTACTAAGTTTTATAATCTGATTTTTATTTTATTTTTACTAATACAAAATTAAATATAATGCCGGTCAAAGTTATGCGTTGGAAAACGTGAAATGTTGACCGTTGCAACTAAAAAGAGACGGAGGAAGTATATATATTTCTTTTTTAAGAAAAATTGCATTTTAAATCGTTGAAAAATGTTGAGATGTTAACTAATCATTTCTTTCTATCAATAATTTAGTGAAATTAGTGTAAATATAAACACGTATTATATGACGTATTTTTAAATTATTAAAAGTTTAAAACACGTACGTATCCGTATTCTTGTTGCGAACGTATATAACATATATTAAGTCGTATTTTATAAAAGTGTGTCGTATTATACATGAACGTACGTACTATTATATTATTCACTTACCGTGTATTACTAAGCATGGGATACAAATTGGGATAGAGCTGTGCTATGTATACTAAAATTGATACGATAATAATTGTATAACCAGCTAATTGATCCTTTATTTGGGAAATCGGGATTCCGTCATTCCGTGTGCCATTGTGCTCCCCTCATGCAATTTCACCCGGCGGTTCCGAACGAACCGGCGGTTTAAGCTTAATTCTGAGATTTAACTTGAGCTCCAATAAACGTACTCCGGATTTCCGGCAGCGAATACAGAGGTAAGCAATGAGAGAGAAGAGCTTGCTCTTGATTTTCAGGCAAAACAAAACCTCCGGTTCGAAGATTTCATCGAATCTGAGCGGGTGGTTCAACCCAACCTCGAGCCAAACCTCGGAACACTACAGGATTTTATCTTCTATCGCGAAGCTCGCTCCTTTAAGCAGAAATTCAGTTACCAGAAGCTTTGTCAATTATGGGTTCAGATCCTTTCATCAGTTCAATCACAAGGTTATCTTCCTGCTTTTTTATTAATATTCTGTTTGTTCATTTTTTTCATTTAGTGTCACTCATCAGTGGCTTTAAGAACCGTAATCATATGCTAAACGTTCTTGGATGATTTCCTGTAACTTCGGTAAGTGAAGATTGTCTATTAATTTTTAATTTCTATGGATGATCACGGGTTGGTTTTTCCAGTATCCCAGTTCTGTACAACCATTTGACCATTTGAGGTAGTTTAAGCTTGATAACGGATGTAACTTGCCCTTTGTTGGTTTCAAGATACTTATGTAACCATTAAAGTTTCATCATCCTACTTTGTTTTTGATTGACTAGTCTGTGGATATGTTTGGAACTATGGATCCTGAAACTAGGATAGAAAAAAGACTCCCTACTAAAGAAAGTTAATTTCTTATGTTTGGTTTTACATTCAAAAGTGCAAAGGAATATTAATATAAATATGATGAATGATTTCAAAATAAATATGACGAGTTTGAGCAAATTAAAAAAAATAACTGCTTGCTGTGTTTGAGCTAATGCTTTATTTCCCCCAAACTTTTCTTTCATCCGAATTTACTCCCCAGTTTCTTTCTCTAGCATTTTCTGAGCTCCAAACTGACCTTTGTACATCAGTACTTATATTAGTCCCTGAAAATGTAATAATGATTCAGGGATACAGACCATCATATAGAATTTTTTCCACTTCCACGGTTGCTGAAACAAAGGAGGGGTTGAAGCTCCTAGTAACTGGTGGGCCACATGCTCAGAAAGTGGTTGGGATATGGCTTTTCGCTTCAGCTGCTTGGGTGTTTAGTATGGTGGTGCTAGGGGGAGTAACACGCCTAACGCGTTCTGGCCTTTCCATGACTGACTGGAAATTCACAGGAAGTTTGCCTCCTCTTTCAGATGAAGAATGGGTGGTTGAATTTGAGAAATACAAACAGTCCCCTGAGTATAAGCGGTTAGTTCCAATGCCTTTATGTTGTAAATCACACTACTGTAGAACACCCCATTTTAATTTATACAACTCTATGCACTTGTTCTTACTCAGTGAAATACAGAACCATGTTTTACAGTGAAAATAAATTGGAAAGTGGAATTATATATTTTCTGGTAAAGTAAACAATAGAGTATAAAAATATAAATTTATGTGATAGAATAGTGAGGGCTTTTGGAGTAGGAGTTGAAGTTGAAAAGTTGTTACTAAAAATGAAGATTTATCTAACTTAAAGAAAAAAATTAGAGATAACCATTTAAGTTGTCTATAAACACTTTCTCCCTAATTCAGAGATACAGACCCTGAATTAGAGATAACCATTTTCTCCCTAATTCAGAGAAACAACTTAGTTAAGGGATTTTACTATAAACACTTTTTTCAATAATTCCCATGAGGTAAACACACAAGTAGGATCAACAGGCTTCTGCAAGAATTTGAGAAAATGACACTTTTAGTCCTGAATTTCACCCTGATGCATTTTGTATCGTCATATAACTGTCCTCTCCATTCCAGCCCCTAAGTATCCCCTAGGCTATGTTTGAATCCCAGGTAATAATACAGACCGGAAGAAAAGTTTTGTTTTTATAATTGGATTTACCTAGGAAAATAAAAATGAAAAAGCAATAGACTAATGTTTTAATTTTTTTACATATGTTTAGATTGCTTATTCTGCTTTACATAGTATGTATGAATGAATAAAAATGAACTTATACAAAGTTGAAAAATAAATTGATTGAGTTTGAACCAATATTTTATTTTTCCGCAATGTTTTATTTTCTTCCAAATTTTGTAAGTATTTTCCTCTAAATTTTCTCCCTAGCATTTTTGGCATTCCAAGGGGATCCGAAAGTGTCTGTTTTAGTTGTCCTCATTAGGGTATCGAGAGTACTGGGTGACTAAAAGAGCCACTTTAGGGAAAACAAGGGATGGAATATGGAGGTTTTAGTTATATGAGTACTTGAGTACTAAAAATGGACCGAGGGTATAATCTGCAGTCTAGTAATTTTATTTTCCCAAGCAATTTTGTAGCTTATTGGGATGGGCTCCTTCAAGTAGATTATAAGTGCACTACCGTAGCCTCGGAAATTAAATGAACGTAAACTCATCCAAAACCCCTAGTACGGGATTATAAGCTAGTTTAGCTGTATTTTCTAAACTTCTTTTATGTGAAATACTGAAACGCTGATTCTTTTTTATTTCTATTGTCTTCTGGATGCTCACTCACTCTCACTGCACTTATGATTATTATTGAGTCTTCATAATTTGGGAATGGCTTGAATGGGCTGGTTATTTTAATGTGAATTACTTTTTACCCTTGCACAGTGTAAACAAGGGGATGGAAATGGAAGATTTCAAATTCATATATTGGATGGAATATGCTCACCGGATGTGGGGAAGGGGATTAGGTATAATGTTTGCGCTTCCTTTCTCATACTTCCTCCGCAAAGGCTATATTACTGTGCGATTAGGGCTTCGTCTCTCTGCCTTATTTGCCCTTGGTGCTGGACAAGGACTTATTGGTTGGTGGATGGTTAAAAGTGGTTTAGAGGTACAGACAACATATATGATGTACTCCCTTCTGCCCTTATTGTAAGACAATAAAGTCACATTTTGAACAGAGTGAATGGTCATTTTTAAACAGCACTGTTTTTCTCAATGAAGTACTTATGTATTGTTTTCCATTGTTGAACTCTTATTAGTATTTATCAAGCTTAATGTTAAGGGGATTTTCCTATCATTCAAAATATATCAAATGTTTAGTGTAGGACCAAAACGTTACAAATGCAGCTACCAAGCATCAGTGGTCAGTGACTGTTGGTAGTTGCATTGATAATTGGCCTTGACTGGTTAACTCTTCGTAAATGATTGGTGACATTTATGTCCTAAACTAGAAATTAACATTTTTTTCAATGGTGACATTTATTAGTATTTATCAAGCTTAATGTTAAGGGGATTTTCCTATCATTCAAAATATATCAAATGTTTAGTGTAGGACCAAAACGTTACAAATGCAGCTACCAAGCATCACTGGTCAGTGAGTGTTGGTAGTTGCATTGATAATTGGCCTTGACTGGTTGACTCTTCGTAAATGATTGGTGACATTTATGTCCTAAATTAGAAATTAACAATTTTTTCAATGGGTATCCAGTTAGTAATACCTACAAAAGTTTTTCTTTTTAAAATACATTCAATTACAAGGCACAATAAAACAAACAGGGATAGTTTGGACTCTCATAAGTTCTGTAAGAATCAATAAAATTAACTACTCTATCCGTCCCTTGAAATTCTTCCCACTTGCCTTTTTGGGATGTCCCAAAAAATTCTTCTCATTTCCCTTTTCGGAAAGTTTTGTGTGGCTAACATTCATTTACCTTTTTCTTACTCAACCACACCCATACAATTCCACTTTATTCCTACTTTCTTAAACTCCGATCCTAGTCAAACCGGGAAGAATTTTATGGGACGGAGGGAGTATTGTTCTTGGTTCGTGTATTTAGGTTAGTTGTGCCTTATAATAAGGTCTAGAGGAAGTATTATTTGCCGTACCAAAAGATTCTTCTCATTTCCCTTTTTGGAAAGTTTTGTGTGGCTAACATTCATTTACCTTTTTCTTACTCAACCACAGCCATACAATTCCACTTTATTCCCACTTTCTTAAACTCCGATCCTAGTCAAACCGGGAAGAATTTTATGGGACGGAGGGAGTATTGTTCTTGGTTCGTGTATTTAGGTCAGTTGTGCCTTATAATAAGGTCTAGAGGAAGTATTATTTGCCGTACCATTGCATTGATATTGATATAAAATATTATGTCCATAAATTTTGTAAATATTCGTTTCATTTGCAGGACCCGCCGTCAGAGTATGTCATACCAAGGGTGA